AATAAGGGACCTGCAGCCTCACCTGTTCCAGGCACTCCAGTCTTCCTGTCGTCCTGCAGTCTGGTCAAACTCATGCTGGTAGCTTCGAGAACACTGTCCAACCAACTTTGTAACCAGAGGTTCAACTGAATAGAATCTGAATCACATGCACCACAAGGCCTATGCAGCCTCAACTTAAGATGGCTCCCCGGCCTGGCTTTGCACTGCAAAGTTTGCAGCAGCACGTGCAACAAAATGGCGTCCAGCATTCAAAATCCCCCTCAGCTTGCATTAACTAGCCACACACACACAGCCTCCCCCCTCCCACGAGATCTCCTTTCCTTTTCCCCCACCATGTGCCCCCGCTCCAGACAGACCTTTTCACCGGCAAGGGTGAGTGGGCCTTCGATGACGTATCCATCCGATTCCGATCCGAGCACTCAGCACAGGTATGTTCAACTTCTGAGCCCCTCTGAGCCAAAGGCAGAAAGCCCAGCCAGTAGCCAAACAAAGCCTCAAGGAAAACCACCGTCACCTCTCCGCTGGGAAGCGCTTAGCAAAGGCGAGTCCCCAGGGAACGCAGCCGATTTGATCAGCACAAGGCATGCAAGCTCCACCCCCCAGTCGTTCTTAGACTTCTTATTGGGTGAGCAACGCAGCCAAGCAACACAGTTGGAGCCTCCCTCCTCCCTGGCCGGCAGGGAGGGAGGGAGGGAGAGGAGCTGCTTCCTTTGAAATTTAAGGGACATCATTTAAGGGACATCCATCAATAAGGGACAGCAGCGGGACATGGCGCTGGAATAAGGGACTGTCCCTTCAAATAAGGGACACTTGACAGCTATGACCATAACCATAATAATAAACTAGTTTGCAAGTATTTCTTTGTGTGAAACTTGGGATGCTTCAAGGAAATATGAAGGGCATTTTCCATGGACGTGGCAGATATCTGTCCTTGTGCAGTCATTACCGCTTGCTAATTAAGTTGGCAAGTCCTGAGTTAATGATGCATGTTGCATCCATCCAGAGCAATAAAGTATATTTATTTGCTTGCCCTCTGCCCTGTCAATAAGCAAGGCACCCGGCCCACGCAGAGTGAACACCACAGGCTAGTGTGGCTTTCCATTTGTATGACTAGAAAGCATTCTGTTTTACAAATCACTGCATTCTAATTTGATGTGTTGGACAATAGCCAGGAGTCAGGCTGCCAACAAGCTGCCTAATTTATATGGGAGGAAATGGCTTGTAGGATGATGGTGAAAAATTATCTTCTCAATGACCTCGCTTCTGTTTGAGGTCAGTATAATGCATTCGAGGAAAGCCTCTTGGTTTTCTGCAACTCTCTCCATGCAAACTTTCATGCACCATCAGGTGTATGGAGGATCTTGGTTGCAGGGCGAGCTGATGCAGACAGAATCATTGGGCACTGGTTACAGCAATGTGTAGATCATGCGCTAAAAACTGATGGGCAACAGTTGAGTTCATAGCTGTCAACGTTTCCCCTTTTTTTAAGGGAAATTCCCTTATTCCGAATAGGATTCCTTGCAAGAAAAGGGAAAAGTTGACAGCTATGGTTGAGTTGCAACTTCAAGGTCTCTGCTCTCCCTTCGTATGGTGCTTTCAAACAGAGGACACCGTCAAATAGAGAACTGTGCTCTGTAAAAAAAAGACAACTCTTAACTAAGGCTGCAGTTATAAACACAATCTGTAGCACTCCCCATTTAAATGGGCTTTTGGATCATGCTGTAGCACTTCTCCCTGAACCACGTCCCTTGGTTGCCAAACAGAGCCTATTTTCTGCCTTATAAGGTAGCCCTGCCTCAGATCTCCATCTGTACAATGGGGATGAGAGCATGCCCTGCTACGTAGGGTTGTTGTGAGATCAAACCACAGTGAAGAAGCAAAGCATCTAGCCTTTTGTACATAATTGCTGTTGGTTTGATCACTTGCTGTCAGCTTTTATTCCCATGTTATTATCACTTTCTGATCATGCTCCACAGGAAATGGAGTTGGGGGTGGAAGGACAGATTGTGAAGCTGAGGCTCCAATACTTTGGCCACCTCATGAGAAGAGAAGACTCTCTGGAAAAGACCCTGATGTTGGGAAAGATTGAGGGCACAAGAAGAAGGGGATGACAGAGGACGAGATGGTTGGATAGTGTTCTCAAAGCTACCAGCATGAGTTTGACCAAACTGCAGGAGGCAGTGGAAGACAGGAGTGCCTGGTGTGCTCTGGTCCATGGGGTCACTAAGAGTCGGACATGACTAAACGACTAAAGAACAACAACAACAGACATCAAAACCTATCATGCTTGTGGGAAAGGTGTTTCTCTGGGTTTTTCATGAACTTGTTTATAATGTTAATAATGAAAATTGCATTGGAATTCAAGGCAAATTCAAACCCTGCAGTTTGTTCCTACCTGATGCTTCCATACAGAGCATCATCTGGCATACTTCAAAGTCACAGCTATTACTTTGGTGATTTCCCCTGCTCTGTCATGAATAAACTCCTGGTTATTGCTGGCCTCATAGGCAGCATGTAATGGCTTCTACTCAGAAGCCATCCAACCCTTTCCAAGAAAATTGCCAGATAAGAGATATCAGAGATCGAAAAGGCCTCCTAGATCATAGCAACTGTTCTCAACTGCCAACAAGGGAGGATAAAGTTCTTCATTAGATATTCAATGTGGTGCAACGTGTTGTTGTTTTTTAAGATGTACGCGTGACCTATTAATCACAGACTGATGCTCCATGGTGTTTCTGATAGGTGGATTCAGAAAACAAATTTTCTCACTCCACAGTGACCTTTTGCAATCACCGCAGAGTTAAAGCCAAGTGAAGTTTAGTGGTAAGATGGAACAGTTAGTCTGCTTAAAAAAGAAAAAGTCTGAAATTCAGTTCTCATGCTGGATTCTCCAGCGGTTTGACTTCGCCATCTGTAATCTGTCATAGATGCTTTAGCTGAGATTCCTGCATTTCAGGGGGTTGGACTAGATTAGCCTTGGGGTCCCTTCCAACTCTACGAATCGATGATTCACCCCTGGAGGTGCATTGTCTCTCAAGACAGACAGATGCAAACAACAACTGCATAGTTAACACAGAGTTCTTCTTCCCTTCTGTAGCAGGAAGGTGGGGCAGGTAGAGTTGAGTCCCTTCTCCCCTTTGAGTGGAATTATCACTTGGGTTTGCCCCGAAGCAATGCTGAATCACTAGCTGGGACAAAGGAAATGAATGGCTAGGGATGGGTGGTTGTTGCTTTCACAGCGGCAGCGAATGATGAGCGGAATATCTCTGAATGGGAACAGATTGTTAGAGCATGGTTTCCTACTGCAGAAATCTCACTGAAAAGAGAAAGTAATCCACTTGAGAAGGGGATAGCCCCCACGGTTGCGTGGTGGTTATGGTGGTGCACATGTGGAGACAATAGAGCAGAGTGCCTTGGATTTCTGATTGCCTTGGGAGGTGATGAACTTTCTCTTGCTGATCCTTTTCAGCAGAAGCTGGATGCTCTAGCAGTAGATTTCCTGTGTTGGCGAGAGGTTGGACTAGATGGCATCTATAGTACCTTCCAACTCTATGAAGCAGTCTACAAAACACAGAAAGAGGAAGAGGCAAATTCTGAGTTGTGACCTGAAGGCACTTGGTGGGCTAATACCTCTCTCCAGGGATATGATGTGGATTTGACAGGAGTGTGAATGCTGCTTGCCTCCAATTTTTGTTAGTGGTATACAGTGGTACCTCAGGTTAGAGACGCTTCAGGTTACAGATGCTTCAGGTTACAGACTCCGCTAACCCAGAAATAGTATCTCGGGTTAAGAACTTTGCTTCAGGATGAGAACAGAAATTGTGCCGTGGCGGCAGTGGGAGGCCCCATTAGCTAAAGTGGTACCTCAGGTTAAGAACAGTTTCAGGTTAAGAGCGGACTTCTAGAACGAATTAAGTTCTTAACCCGAGGTACCACTGTATTTGCAAACAAGAGCAACGAACTGTTACAGAAGCCATGAGCCTCCTGTGACCTCCCTTTGAAAGGAAACCAAACCCAGATAGGACTGTCACTGGAAGTTCTCATCACTTTCATGGAATCATAGACTTGTAAAGTTGGAAGGGACCCCAAGGGTCATCTAATCATAGTCATATTCCACACAGTGCAGGAATCACAGCAAAACAATCCATCAAAGATGGCTATCCAACTTCTGCTTAAAAACTTCCAAGGAAGGAGAGTCCACCAGAGAGCTGTGTGCTCTGACCATTCCACTTAGCCATGGGGTAGAGCTGAGGCTGCGTGGGCAACTGCAGCCAATCTGCTTGTATACACACAAGGCAACTAGCTATTTCACAGCCAGTTCAGAGCTCCACGAATGCACATAACATGCCTCCTTCTTATTTACTTCAGTGGAGGGGGCATGGCTAATATGCATCTCTTTGTGTATAAAGGAGAAACCCCTTGAGTTTAGGGAAATTCACTCTGCCAGTCAGAGCTCCTTTGCCCACAAGGAATTCAATGTCTGTGATGTGGTAGTTGCATTTTAAAAGCTTTCCATCTCCCCTCACTTCTATTTGCATATGCAAAGATATGAAGAATGTTAGAATGCAAATGCAAATGTAGACAGAGGAGGTGCAAACTAAGGAGTTATTATGGAAAAGGACTGGAAAAATGGAAATAGATGAAGTCAAGTGATGGACTAACAAACAAGACGGACGCAATTTAGAGTAGGGGAGGGCCTTTTCCTATATCATATTGCCAGAGTGATCAGATACAAAGGAAGATGGGGTTCCTGTATCTTTTAAAAGCTGTGCATAGAAGAGGATATTTTAGGAGGGGAAGATTTTATTATCCCTGTAATATAAGATGAATCTGCTAAAGTTCTCTCTTCTACAAAATCGTTACAGGAAATCTGCCCTCTGTAGACACTGGTCAGCACTCTCTTCTATAGGATGTGGCACAAATTGCTTGCACTGAACCATATTGGCATCTCTCTGCCAGGTATTGCTGTGGATAAGCTGTGGCTATGGGCGAAAATGCAGTAAAGTGTGATGGGTATTGGGGTGACTAAAAGATCAAATTGGTGAAATTATGATGTAACACCCAATTTGATCTTTTAGTCACCCCAATACCACCATCACACTTTACTGCATTTTCGCCCATAGCCACATTTTCATGCCAAGTGCTCCTGCCTCCATAAGGGTTAAAATTCTCAGTCTGGGCTGCACACAACAGCATTTAAAACAAGCAAGGTGTCAGCATGTTCCTGTATCTGTGGATAATCACTGCATCTCCCAGTAGATCAAAGCAGTAGGAAATGAAACAGTCCCAACAACAGCAGTATATGTGGGTATATATAATAATGACAGAAGCCTTCTGAAATTGGATGTGAGGTGTCTGTGAATTTTAATGACTTCTAACCCGTCATTCTTTCGTTCTACAATGGCTATGTTTCTTCTCTCCCCCTTTTTAAAATAAGACACCATGCTGGAAAAAAAATCACATGTGTTCTTGAATTTAAAAACTGGGGGGAAATAACCCCTGCACTCCTTGAACAAATAAATGAATACTTTTATCTGTTGAGCCTGTTAAGCTATAACACCACTTTAGGTACCTGCCATGAACCATAAAATTATTATTATTATTATTATTATTATTATTATTATATCATCATCATCATCCAAGGATCACAGGGCTGCTTACGGTATAAGAACACATAAAATATGTGTCATAAAATATGCAATTACTTATCACTGAAGCAATCTACTCCATCCATAGTATAAAAATTTCAATGACACAAAACATAAAAAGCAACCTTTGGGGTAATATTCCTTAGGAAAAGCTCTATATTTTCTGCTGCATAGACCATGATTCAGTACTAAATCAAACAAACAAAAACAATAGTTAGTAGATTTGTGTCTAATCTCCTTGTAGAGTAATCATTACAACAACAAAAATGAAATGAAAAGAAAATGAAAGACTATCATCCATTACACCTTCGCCAGTCATACAATGTCTCAGGCTGAATGTCTATCTAAAGCAGCAGACAGCATCTGTGGAAAGAAGTGCCAATGCTCTCCTAACTGGATACTTACTAAATTCCAATAGATCATTTTCATAATCATGATTAACTGTATCATATAATACCATGGATTTGGTTTCACAATGGCTAGCATAGTTCGATCTGCACAAATATGTATCCTTAAGTTCTTGGCTGTGTACCACCCTGAGATCTATGGATGAAGAGAGGTATTACTACTACTACTAATAATAATAATAATAATATGCACAATTACCTGGGAGTAAGCTCCACTGAAGGGACGTGGGTGGCGCTGTGGGTTAAAACCACAGAGCCTAGGACTTGCCAATCAAAAGGTCGGTGGTTCAAATCCCCGTGACGGGGTGAGCTCCCGTTGCTCAGTCCCAGCTCCTGCCCACCTACCACTTCGAAAGCACGTCAAAGTGCAAGTAGGTACCGTTCCGGCAGGAAGGTAAACGGCATTTCCGTGCACTGCTCTGGTTCGCCAGAAGCGGCTTAGTCATGTTGGCCACATGACCTGGAAGCTGTACGCCGGCTCCCTTGGCCAATAAAGTAAGATGAGTGCTGCAACCCCAGAGTCAGTCACGACTGGACCTAATGGTCAGGGCTCCCTTTACCCTTTACCTTTTAAGCTCCACTGAACTCACTGGGACTTACTTCTGCATAGACATGAACAGCATTGTGCTATAGATGGTGCTAGATTTTAGGTATCAAACTCAGAAATACTTCTGCATATAAACTAAGGGTTATTGTCCCATGTTGTTCATTGCTCTAGAGTTATCATGAACTATGTCAAAGAAAGCGATAACAAATTCTTTTAAAATACATGGCTTCTCCAATCTAGCCTTAAATATAGCAGATCACAAGACCTTGCTAACTCTTGCCTCTCTGCTAAAATGCAGCTCCTCTGCCCCTTTAAAATCTGAAATGACATCCATGTATGGAAGGCTAGGGATGAGGGAAAAATTCAATTTTGTTTGTATTTTAATGAGAAATGACCTAATTTGCACTTCTCAAACCAGCAAGATCATTACACGAGTCTGCTGGATCAGGCCCATGACCCATCTAGTCCAGCATCCTGTTCTCACAGTGGCCACCCAGACATCTATGGGAAACAGAAGTAGGCAAATGGAAACCCAGGTATGCTCTGAAATTAACTCTTCTCCGAATTTTGCGATGGACTTTGCCAAACAAAGTGGACAAAAACATTAGAGAAACTAACGTGCAGAAAGTGCACATAGTTGGGGAAACTGCTTTGAAAAATGTATGTATTTGTTGAAACTGCAAGGAACATAGCTGTCAAGTTACAGATTTGAAAATAAGGGACCAGCAGCCTTGAAAATAAGGGACCAGCAGCCAAAATAAGGGATCTGCAGCCTCACCTGTTCCAGGCACTTCAGTCTTCCTGTCGTCCTGCAGTCTGGTCAAACTCATGCTGGTAGCTTCGAGAACACTGACCAACCAACTTTGTAACCAGAGGTTCAACTGAATAGAATCTGAATCACATGCACCACAAGGCCTATGCAGCCTCAACTTAAGATGGCTCCCGGCCTGGCTTTGCACTGCAAATTTTGCAGCAGCACGTGCAACAAAATGGCGTCCAGCATTCAAAAAACCCCTCAGCTTGCATTAACTAGCCACACACACACAGCCCCCCCCCACGAGATCTCCTTTCCTTTTCCCCCACCATGTGCCCCCGCTCCAGACAGACATTTTCACCGGCAAGGGTGAGTGGGCCTTCGATGACATAGCCAGCAGCCAAACGAAGCCTCAAGGAAAGCCCAGCCAGCAGCCAAACGAAGCCTCAAGGAAAACCACCGTCACCTCTCCGCTGGGAAGCGCTTAGCAAAGGCGAGTCCCCAGGGAACGCAGCCGATTTGATCAGCACAAGGCATGCAAGCTCCACCCCCCAGTCGTTCTTAGACTTCTTATTGGGTGAGCAACGCAGCCAAGCAACACAGTTGGTGCCTCCCTCCTCCCTGGCCGGCAAGGAGGGAGGGAGAGGAGCTGCTTCCTTTGAAATTTAAGGGACATAATTTAAGGGACATTTAAGGGACATCCATCAATAAGGGACAGCAGCGGGACATGGCGCTGGAATAAGGGACTATCCCTTCAAATAAGGGACACTTGACAGCTATGGCGAGGAATAATAATAATAATACAATCGTACCTCCGCCTACGTATCCCTCTGGATACGTAAACTTTGGGATGTGAACGCGGCAAAGCCAGAATTATTTTTCCGGGTTTCGTTGCGTGCACATGCGCAGAAATACTCTATGTGCCATGCGCATGCACAGAAGTGCTAAATCACACCACGCACATGCACAGAAACGGTCCTCCGGTTGTGAATTCCTCAGGATGCAGCCAGACCTCTGGAACAGATCCCGTTCACAACCGGAGGTACCACTGTAATAATAATACTACTAATAATAATAATGCAAATTGCTGCAGAAATGTACAGAACTGAATTTAAGTCTGGAAAATTGTGAAACTGGAAGAGACCAAAATTAACAGATTTTCTCGTTCCTAGTTAAAGGTCTCTTCCTCTGTTTTCCCAGCTGAATTTTAAATCACATGTTTAAAACACACAAACACCAGGCCCCAGGTTTTCCCATGCTCAATGCCCCCGCTTGCCCCGCAAGCACCTTTATACATTCTCAGCACAATTCACCTTCTCTAAGTGAGCCCATTGCATCGCATTAGCCCGCTCATGAATATGAGATCAGAAAAGAAAGGCACCAGAAAACGAGCCAGAAGTTGCTGGCTGCAACCGATCCTGCCCTCTTCTGCAATGTGAGCTGAATGCATAATACCAAGTGAGCAGTGAAATATTTAAGGCACTACACTCAGCTAAGGGTGTCTCTGTGGCTGAATATTCCTTTACCTCAAGCCACTGCGTGTGCTTCTCAATGCTTTGTGTGTGTGTCCCTGAATGCCATGGGAGTGAGCTAGGATGTGTTTTGAGAGGCTGAAGCGGCAAATGCTTGTTTCACTTAAAGTTATGCAATATGCTAACCTAGTCACTCACCTTTCTTAAATTCTGCTCAAGCCCAGCATAGGCCTTTTCACCAGGTTTGTTTATTTTAATGCCAACATAAAAGAAGCTTGTTTATATACTGTCTTTTCCCATCCAGGTCTCTCAAATTGCTTTTCAGGCAACAAGAGTTTGATAGCATGCGTAGACAGATCTCTTCCATTTCCCTCACTGTGAGGAAATGAACAAAATCCTGAAACGGGCGTGCTTGATGATCTATGACAAATCAAGTGAACCAGTTGAAACTCTGCTATCGTACTGCGCCTGTGGCAGTGAAGCCTCACCACAAAGAGCACATCTGTCAGCCTGGGGGTGGCAAGAGGGGTGGCAAGAGGCAGAAATGTGGGGTGGGTAGGAGAGCCATGATGAAAGAAAGACAGTGTGCATGACCGTGGAGCAAGAAGAGGCACAATCAGGCCCAATAGTCAAGAGCATGAAGGAGACAAGCAGCACATTGCCATGTGGTGAAATGAGAGGCAGCAGGCTGATTGCCTCAGGCCATATTCACACCACACATTTAAAGTACTAGGATGCTGCTTTAAAGAGTCATGGTTTCCCCCAAATAATTCTGAGAGCCCTTATTCCCCTCAAAGAACCATGGTTCCCAGAGTTTCATACCCATCAACTTCCCTGGGGAAAAAGGGGACACCGGGTTTTTTCTCACAAGAGGACAAGAGCCAAAATGGCTGCCATGATATTGCACGATTTCAGCTCTCACTTCTTTAGGGCATGGTGCCCCAAAACATGTGTTTTGGAGCACTATGCCCATAAAAGGTTTTTTTTGGGGGGGGCACGATCTCACATGAGTCATGTGGCTCGCTTAGGAGCGTGGACCCAGATGATGGCATCGTGGATTGGGGCCATGTCATGTTAGAAGGTATGGAGTTCCCTGGGAAGAGGGATTGGCTGTTAAACCATTCTGTAAACTGTAGCTCTGGGAAGGGAACATGGCCTCCTAGCAACTCTCAGTTAACAAACTACAGCTCCCAGAATTCTTTGGGGGAAGGCATGACTCTTTAAAGTCATATCATAGTGCTTTAAATGTATGGTGTGAATGTAGTCTCATTGAGAAT